TACCTAATGTAGGTAACGGTGCTGCAAACCACAGCACTGTATGTAAGATGAACCTTTATTGTCACCCATTTTACCCTGGGTTTTGTGCTTTGAAACTTCCACCAATACTGTTGCATTTTATTGATGGCTAATTCACATTACAGTTGTATATAGTTTTATTAGTTCATGGTTGAATTAACCTTTCACTTTCAAAACAGCAGAGACAATCATTATTTATTATGCATGGGCTGTTCTCTCCAATGTGGAGAATCAGTGCGTCTATAGGGAGCAATAGTTAGAGTTGAGTAGTCCATACTTCGGCTGGCTTTAAATTTGTTGGGCAGTTCATGTGCTGCTCTTCTGACATTAAGGATGGTCAGACAGTTGTCATCTTTGGCATGGAGCGAGCATTTCCTGAAGCCAAAGCTGCCCTGAACAGTGGCCATCCCTGAGTTTAAAATACTTGGGGATCAGAGTTTCTATACCTTCCCTGTGCAGCTATGGAGGGAAGTTACAAAAGCCTGCTGAATTTATCACTTCTCCTGTGGCGATTTCTTCTTGGCAGAATGAGAGAGATGAGTTGCTTAACTTCCAAATGAGATGAATAGAATTCTCAGTGGAATTGAATTATTTTTAGATGTTGTATCATTGGGATTTCTTACCCCAGTGTTCGATGCTTTTGGCTGAGATGATGAACCTGCTCTGAACGTATTCCACATGATTGAGTGTGTGCTTGTACTCTCTCTCTGCCCCTGTCTCTCTGTTCCATCCCTGTTCCCCTAAACCTGTGATTCTGAGGAGAATTTGTACTGAGCTTTGTTCCATTAGGTGTGGACCATCAAATCTGTCTCTTGAAGGATTGAGGCACAATTCTTCTACAGTTATCCTCTCACTGGACTCCTCCTAAAATACTGCATTTACACAGTACTGATTTTTTCAAATTTCATCCTAGCTAATTTATCCTACCAAATATTTTGTACTTTTTTCATTAAGAACATAGTCTCATAATTTCTGGCAGCTTGGGTTTTGTCTGAGGGTGTTTGTTTAAGCACTAAAATTCCCACTGGTTTTAAAAATGTTCCATGACGATTCTTAAAGCTCAGACCCTTCATTACATTTAGGTGTAAGAACCAAACAGCAGTGTATTTTGTGTTGAAATAAGTGTTTAAGTAAGGAGGGGACTAGTATTTAAGTAAGGGGGGGTGTCTTTTTAATGGTACAAGCTACAGTTATTAGCATTGGGAGGGATTTCTTCTCTAAAGAAGGAAAAGAAAAAGACCTTTCAGTTAGATGGTATTGTTGCAGATAGAATTTTATTTTTCATCACTACATCTTTTTAATATCTGCATTGAGTATTTAAAAGTATTTCCTTTGGCAAATGGAAGTCTAAAAGCTCTGCACAGTTCTGGCACGAGTGAATTTTTCATGCTGCTCCCAGGTTGTCCATCTGTAAGCACTGGTCCTGTATGAACTGCCAGCAAGGTGCAGAGAGCAGGTATTGCAAATGTTTTCAAGTCTTTTGAGGATGACCAATAAGTACACTCTTTGTTTGAATAATATTTATCTTTAAGTATGTTCTTACCCTTTTTTTTTTTTTTTTTTTAATAGTCAGCTCTGGATAGACTTATTCAACCCCAGATAGCATATTTATTTCATTAGGGGATAGATTATGTTCAGTCAAACCAAGAACATGTTTCACTAATGTTAAAGCAATGCCAATTTAAAATTGTTCATGCACACAAAAATGAATATTCACGGTCCCTCTCTGAGTGGGATTTGGAATGATTCAATACAAATACTTTTGGATCCCTGCTGAATTGGGTCAGCTTTGTCTTATTTGCCCTTAAGGGGAGAAAAACATGTTACTTCATGTTTGCAATTTGAGTAGCCTGAGAGGTACTGGAATGAAGCCAGGGTCCACCAGATCTGAATCCCTGTAGCTGGGTTTGTTACCTTTTATGCTGAGAGGTCAGAATATATGAAAGTGCCTTTGAAAGTGCTGTACATCTTCTACTTGAATTCCAGCAATAGCCCCAGGAGAAGCCCAAGAGCATATATTGATTACGGGTTTGGTTTTTGGTTTTTTTTTTGTTTTTTTTTTTCAAAGGCACTTATTCAATACCAGGACCAAGAAAAGTGCAGGAACATGGGTAGCGTTTGAGTGGCACACACAGCTAAAAACACTTTCGACAGTACCTTTTCCCCCAGCATGCTATGTAGATTTGTGGGGTTTCTTTTCTTGTAGTATCTAGATATCAGGCCTTTTCTTTTCTGCTTTATTTCCTATTTCAGGAGAATATAGCCGCTTTCACCCCCGAGGAACCTGCTGGCTGGCAAGCCTCAGAAATTGAAGGGCAGCCTGAAGTGTAGCACTCCCTTCAGATGCAGAAAACAGATTCCCTCTTCCTTTGTCCCCTGCAGCACCATCCCACAGGGCATCCCAATTTCTCTGTGCTGCCTGTGGACAGGCATGTGTCAGGCTCTGGTGTGTCTGAGCAGGTTGTTTCCTACACAAGTATTTGGGAGAGGACGATCTGCATGTGCTGGAAAGATCCTACAGCCAGCATCAGGTATGAGTAAGCTTTTAGTAACATAGCACCATCCAAATCTCAATGGAAGAGTGGAGACAGGCCATCTTGCTGTATTTGCTGAAGATGTCATGGGTGTGCGCCTAAGGAACTGTGGATTTGGTGGGATTTTTTTTTTACACTTGACAACTGAGCAGGACTAACTTGGTCATCAAAAGAAGCAGAGTGAGAACGAGTGTGAGGAGAGAGAGAACCCACCTACCAGTGTGTATGGAGAAGGGAATTGTGCAGTTTCGAGAAGGGTTAGGATGCAGGAGTGAATTGTGTGGAAGAAGAGGGACCAACTGAACATAAAGGGACCAAGAATAACAGAATGAGGAAAGGCAGAGTTGGGTTGAAGGTGTGCTTATTTAAAGGGAAGAAGATACATTTTGTTTCAAAAGGAGCACTGGAAGTATGGGAACATAAAGGCAAATACGAGACTGGAAAATTGGTTTAGAGATGCTTGCAGTGTATGTCTTGAACCTGACCAAATGCAGGCTTTTCTGTTTGGAAGCAGCTTCTTTTCCAACAATTAATCTGGCATCCACTGATGAGAAGAGGGTGATAGCCCTTTCCTTTGAATACTGTAGAATCACACAGCAGCCCAGGTTGGAAGGGACCTCAAAAGATCACTTGGTCCAACCTTTTGTGGGAAAGGGAGCCTACATGCAATTATGCAGCACCCTGTCCAATTGTAGATAAACCTCATTTTCTTCCTGAAGAGGTGAAAGAGATGTGAGATTTTTCAGACTAAAAGATTACAGATAAAGTCATTTTTTGTTGTGATGGCTGAGTCACCTGGAGCCAATAAACCACTCTTGCTTTGTCGGTGTTCTGCATAGGAAAGGAGACCTTGTTTGTCTCCAGTTTGCTGATTTCTGTATTACAGGAGGCAGCTGTGGGCAACATTTGTCACCTGTCCCACATGCAGCTTGTCGAGGCTTGCCTTGCAAATGTGTTCAAAATTAGCTGTACTCAACTTCTATCCTAGCAAAACTGGGATGATGGGAGAGAGGGCTGGCCCTAGCTGGCTATCACTGTCACTAGACCTGTACTAAAGTAAGGCTGTAGGTCTGCTGGTTCAACCCACACCAAAAGAACATTCACTTTGAGCAAATTCTACCAGCCTATAACCAGTCTATAACATTCTTAACAAACGTGGTTTCACTCACATGTTTTGGTAAATCTCCCAACAGCAGTGCACAGGGTACAGTGGCTCTGTGCAGCTGTTCTATGAAGGAGCAGAACAGATTCGGCAAGTAAAATGGTGCTTAATCCTATTGGTTTAAGAACCTCTGTATTTGCTTTGATCATGCCAAAGAATGTGTGTGCATGTATGTCTGCAAGCCCTGGAAATATTTTGACACAATATGGTTTATTTAAAATATATATTATGCTCAAAGTAATTTAAAGGGCTATGGGAGAAAAATCAAACGTGCAGGTATTGAAATATTTCTGTGATTGCCCCACATGTACAGATGCACATACCCCTTTATATATCAGTGGTCAGATGTACTCATGTTACACTACTGGTAATACAGCAGTAGCTCTTGATGATATCTACAAGGACAGAACTATGAGGAGAGGCTGAGGGCTGCTTTATCTGGGAAAGAAAAGGCTAAGGGGCGATATAAGGCAGCCTACTGCAATGGAGAGGGGAATTACAAAGATGATTGAGCCAAACTTTTCCCCATAGTGGCAGATGCTATAATGAGGCAGCAGCTGCAGGCTGCTGCTTGGGAGGTTTTTGTTGAACACAAGGAAAATTTTTCTCACTGGAAGGGTAATGCAGCACTGGACTGAGTTGCCCAGAGAGGTGGTAAAATCTCCATCACCAGAGGTTTTCAAGACTTAGCTAGACAGAGTTAGGCTGACCTAGCGTTGGCAGTACACCCACATCGAGCAGGAGGCAGGCTAGATGATCCCCAGAGGCTCCCTCCAACTAATGTGTCTTTGGTCTGCAGTTGTTTGGTGAACAATTGTAGTTGAGAAGACAGATTTCTTGAAGACTGACTATTTTTAGATCACAGGTAGTGTTTTGAGTTGAGTTTTGCTTCAAAGCAATACCAGGACTGATATCTACAGTCACTAGTATTTGAAATCTTCTAAATTTTTCATGGCGTGTAAAGGGGAGGTAGGAACAAATACTGATATCTAAGACTACTCCTTATTAAATGATCATTGTGGGGTTTTGGGTCTATTGTATTAGTTGGAATTCATTGAAGTGCACCTGTAATGTGAGTAGTGCTAATTACTGCAATTTGAAGCTATCGCATACTGGAACTGTCATGGACAGTCTAGCCCTGCCTTTCTTCCTGCTTAGAGGAATCCCAATACGGCACGTTCTGTAATCGTCATCAGCGGGAATCAGTGCTGAGTTTGGACTCAGTGACAGTGCATTGATTGATTTTATTACTGGCATCAGTTTCCCTGTTTCACTTCTTGTTTTAGGGCTTCTTCAGTAAACGTCTGAAAGGGTCCATCAAGAGGACAAAGAGTCAGTCAAAGCTGGACAGGAACACAAGTTTCCGTCTGCCATCTCTCCGCAATGCTGATGACAGGTAAGATTCAATGCATCTCCCAAAACAATCTCTCCTCACCCAGAGGCACTTCACAAAATCCACATGCAGCATACGTATGCACTCACAGAATGAGAGCAAGGAAGGGCATTTATTGTTAAACTGGCAGATGGGTGGTTTTTGGGCTGACTCTACTATGTTACAAGTGACTTAGTATACAATGTATCACTGACACAGGACTGAAGACTTTCACTGCTCTTAACAGCTGATGAAAAGTTCAGGATAAGCATATGGACTCAAATACCTTTTTCTGCATCTGTTTCAAATGAGCTGCAGACTTTAAATTTCATGATACAAAACCATTGGATTGATCAGCTCTAAAGAAACTTGCCTTGATGCATGCAATTCTTATCCACAGATCAGTGCAGTGGCCAATATGAAGGATTATGCTGGTGCAAGCAGATGACTTCAGCTAGCACTCACAAAGCACAGAGACGTACAGTGCAGTTCAGGCACATTAAGAATCCTTGCTAATGTCAGTCAATTGTATAGTTACTGCAGCGTTACTACAATGAACAGACGGTCTGTTTTGCAGAAAACTGGAAAACTCAGTAACTTCTGACTATCTTAGAGCTCCATTTGGTATATTCTTGCTTGTTTAGTTTCTGGCTGGCAGTTCAGGCTGGGAATGGATTGTATATGAGGCAGGCAAAAGCTCATACACAGAGTTTTTCCTAACTATTTGTAAAGTCTCTTGGTTGTTTTCATTAAACATTACTCTCTGTTACATTCCACAGTAGCCCAGCAGGAGAACTAGACTGAATGAAAAACAGGTTGCCCTGTACTTAAGGCCACGGCAGGCTTCTGTGATTTTACATTGTTTAGTGCATTTTCACTTCTCCTTTAGCTGAGTTGAATTCATTAGTTTTATCTGTCATGCTGTGCTGCTTCAATCAATGGTGCTCTCTTCTCCATCTAAAAAGCAGCATCATAAAATCTTGGAGATAGCAAGGCTTTAGATGTTAGAGGTCTTGTTAACTTCAGGAGTTACAGAAAAGACTGCTGCATACCAAATATGACTAACGATGTGGATGATGTTGCTCCTATAGTCAGTAATGTCCACCCAGTCTGTTTTGAGTCAAGTTTTGTTATAAATCCCTATTTTCAGAGATCTGCAACATGGCTATAAAAAGCAACTCAGCATAAGCATGTTAAATAATGCCACCATGTGATAAAGTACCTGTTATTTTTACCATTGTTTGTAACCAGCTTTGCTTGAAGTTTTGGAATGCAAAAATCTCTTTGCCATAAATAATGTATTTGACTTTCCTTAACTTTTGGTACTCATGGTAAATGTCATAGAATCATAGAATGCTTTGGGTTGGAAGGGACCTTTTTAGAGGTCACCTAGCCCAACCCCCCTGCAGGGAGCAGGGACAGCTTTAACTAGACCAGGTTGCTCAGAGCCCCATCCAACCTGACCTTGAATGTTTCGAAGGATGGAGCCTCCACTACCTCTCTGGGCAATCTGTTCCTGTGCTTCACCACCCTCATTGTAAAACATTTCTTTCTTATGTCTAGTCTAAATCTATTCTTCTTTAGTTTAAATCCATTATTCCTTGTCCTGTCACAACAGGCCTTGCTAAAAAGACTGTCCCCATCTTTCCTATAGGCCCCCTTTAAGTACTGAAAGGCCACAATAAGGTCTCCTCGCAGCCTTCTCTTCTCCAGGCTGAACAACCCCAAGTTGCTCAGCCTGTCCTCATAGGAGAGGTGCTCCAGCCCTCGAACCATTTTTGTGCCCCTCCTCTGGACCCGCTCCAGCAGGTCCATGTCCTTCTTGTGCTGAGGGCTCCAGAGCTGGACGCAGCACTCCAGTTGGGGTCTCACCAGAGCAGAGTAGAGGGACAGAATCACCTCCCTCGACCTGCTGGCCATGCTGCTTTTGATGCAGCCCAGGATACGGTTGGCTTTCTGGGCTGCAAGTGCACACTGTTGGCTCATGACCATCTCTTCATCCATCAGTACCCCCAAGTCCTTCTCTGCAGAGCTGCTCTCAATCCCTTCATCCCCCAGCCTGTATTGATATTGGGGGTTGCCCCGTCCCAGGTGCAGGACCTTGCACTTGGCCTTGTTGAACCTTATGAGGTTCACACAGGCCCACCTCTCCAGCTTGTCCAGGTCCCATTGGATGACATCTCGTCCTTCTGGTGTGTCAACCGCACCACTCAGCTTGGTGATGTCTACTGATGATACTTCCTTTTGCAGTGTAAGGGAAATGCTATCGTTCTGGGAAAGCCAAGAAATTTAGCTATAATTAATCCCTACATCTTTGGTTTAAGATATGATATTATACACAGCAAAGCCACCTTCTCTTTAAAACTGGATCCCCCTCTACTTCCTGCCAGTGTGGGCATGAATTGTCAACTAGACCTGAATGAAACGTGGATTTTATCTGATTGCTTGCAAAGCGTAAAATCCAGTGCACACAGTGATGGTATTAAGCATAGCTGGATTTAAAAAGGAGGATCCGGGAGCAAATGAACTGAGAAGTTCCAGTGGCAGAGTCCACATAGACATTTGGGGGACATAGCCCTGACAAGCCTATGATGTGCAGGATGTTAGACAGGGACAAGCTAGTGGTTGCTCTTTACTTTCAGTTCGGCCACCCTCCTCCTTTGGCCTGCTACACCAGCCCTTATAGCAATGCATCTTGCATGTGTAGGGTAGGAGATGGGACAGTGTTTCGGGGGTTTTGTGACTTGATACGGTCGCTTCCTACTAGTGGAAAGAAGCATTTTTGATAACCAGTCCGTGTGATCTTCCTCCTTTCAGAGGTATGTGTGCTGAACTGAGCAGAGGGCACAGTTTGGAGGCAAGGGAGATCATTTGAGAGCAGCCAAGCTATGCGGAAAGCAAGCTGAGCTGAAGTTTATTTGGACATAAATCTTTGCACAAATGAGTATTGCTGTTCAAAAGCATGAGCCTCACCTCAAGCTGGTTGAAGCCTCATGCTGCAGGTGAGGGTCACAAATTGCTGATATGTTTTCTTTCCAAAAAGAACTTAACAGCACTACTCAACCTTGTAGTTACCTTTTGTTGGAAATAGTGAAGGTTTAATGGAGTTCTCTTTGTGGTCTAATCAGACAGTGCACCAACTGAATATACCAACTTTGAAAGTTTATGGTTAAGATATTACTTTTCTAATGGTATTTTACAAATAAAACCATAAAGGAAATTCAGTTCCACTATAAAGTGAAACTTGCCAATAACTTCTCCCGTCCCTCCCATATGTTTCACTCTGTATCTAAGGGTGCCTGAAAAATGCAATTGGTGGGTAGAATAGCAGGAAAAACAACTTGGAAACCATGTGGGAATGAAGCACTGAAGATGAGGAACAGATTAGTATACAGGGAGGAGATGGGCTGGAGGAATGAGGAGGCTAAAAAGATTGATTTGTGTTTAGAATTACGTTGTTGTTTAGGATTTTTCCAGTGGGACAAATCAGGGACAACTGTTTCTGCATGAAAGAAGATAACACATAGCAGCTGACTCTTAATTCATGAGAGGGAATTGCCATTCTCTCACCTTCTGCTCTCCCTGCTTTCTGTATGTCTCAGTCTGTTGCGGTAAGAACTTTCCTGTCCTATCCTGGTGAGTCAGCCCTTTCCCATTTTAAGCAGGTGATGCTAGGTGATGTCATGGTGTTATACAGGTTTTCAGGGCCAGGTTGACTGATAGTATCTACCTTTTCTTGCTCTGACAAATACAAGAGCCCTGCCTTCAAAGAAAGTATCGTATAGCTTTATAAATTAAAACCCTGCAAGGATTAGAAGGAAAAAGAGCCTGCTGTCATGTTGCTTTTCTCATGCTTTTGAGGTGTTTGGGTCCTGTTAAGAAACAGGAGGTGTTTCTTAACATAGAGAAATACCTACAAAATTCTGGAGTAAGGAAGATTAGTTATCCTGGTGCACATCAAGATTTGGGCTACTGTAATACTGCATGCCATTCCAGGTGGTGACAGAGGATGGAGGCGGTCTGTTCAGAGCTGATTTAAAATAGAAAGGATTCAGGAATGCTGTAGGAAGGAGTGATGGAGATAAGTTGCAGATTTTTTCATAATCAAATTTTCTGTTTCAGCAGAAAGCAATTGGCCAACCTACTTTTTCTGGCTTTTAAACTTAGCTTCAGTGTGACTGTGTTAGTGGATGGGGAGAGGAGAGAGCTGCAGTGCCCCTCCAGAAAAGAGCCCACCATGGGTCAGCATCCAGGTGTCCTGTTTGAATCCACAGCCTCTTAGTCTGTATCACTTCTGTTGCTCCAGGTTCAGGTTGTTTGCTGGGCAGTCTGTTGTACTTGAAAACTCATGGTTTGTCTTCACAAGGCACTAATGTGAGAACGCTTAGGCTCTGCTTGGTTGTGACCCGCACCAGATGTGGATGAAGCTCTTTGGATGTATGGCCAGTACAGCATCTCACCAGGTTATCAACAGCTCTCACCATGAGGCTATCTGGCACCATGTTACCATATCATCTTTCACAGCTTTTCTAGCTTGTTTCCCACTGCATTCTTTGAGCTCTTTAACCCACACATTTGTCTCTAACATTTCCTCACTGTCAGTAATATATAAAACATGTAAAAAAAGCATGAGAAAAGACTTAAGGAAAATCACATTTGAAAGGAGAGACCAAAGTAATATTTTCAGATTGCGGCCGGAAATTTGAGACTATTTCCAAGTCAACCAACAGTTCTCGCCTCAGTTATGTTTATGATGAGGGAGTGAAGATGGTTGAGGCTGGCTGCATATGGTCTCAGCAACTGCAATAAAGCTCTGCAGACAGCTGGGAGGGTTTTGCCCTGTTGGGATTTACTGCCACGTGGGAATCCTCCTGCTTTACTAAAAGTCATTTTATGGCATTATCAGATAGTCGTAGATGAGCGCAGGATCCGTTGTGTGCTTGCTCAGAATGGGCTCCGGCAGGTTGCAGGGAAGCAGGTAGCCATGGCTCTGGGGTTCATGGTGAAACGGTATCGCTGCTCAA